TATGATGTTAAAACCTTGTTAGGCACTTGTAAAGGGTATTTCAAGTGATTTCACAAAGTTGGGAAAGTCGCCGGAATTGTCGCCGGAGTTGACCAAAAGTCACCGGAGTTTCACCGGAGTTCAATCGAGAAGGGTAGAACTTCATAACGCTAGTTCAAGGTGAGTGGACGGCTTAATATCTTATAACTTTTGGGTTAATTATGAGATTACCTAAATAAATGTTATATGAGTTCATAATGATGTTTAAAAGATATTTAAACATGTGATTAGCCAATAGGGTTAAGTTTGTATGAAAGGAATTAATTGTTGATGCATGGAATATGATATGAAGAATTATATGAAATGCATATTTGCTTGAAGTGTATTAGAAGCACAAATGAATATTATTAACTTAATTATATGATGATTAAGTTGATACACACAAGGCATGAAATGGCGGTCAACGAAAACGTGGACCGAAGAACAAAGGATTTAATTAATACCAGTTGGTATTAATTAATTATAAATCTATATAAATGCATGGTTTTGCATGGATTGTGATACATAAGATTTATGTATTGGATTAGTTATGAGTAACTAAGTATGATGTAGACTCTATCTAGGTTGATAGGAGGTTGATCATAGGAAAACTTGGTGGAGGACCTTAGTACTTAAAAAGTACTTAACACTCAAACTTGGTGGAGGACCCTAGTACTTAAAAGTACTTAACACTCAAAACTTGGTGGAGGACCCTAGTACTTAAAAGTACTTAACACTCAAAACTTGGTGGAGGACCCTAGGACTTAAAGTCCTTAACACTCAAACTTGGTGGAGGACCCTAGTACTTAAAAGTACTTAACACTCAAAACTTGGTGGAGGACCCTAGTACCTAAAAGTACTTAACACTCAAAACTTGGTGGAGGACCCTAGGACTTATGAGTCCTTAACACTCACAAACCGGTGGAGTATCCAAGGATTATGATCCTAAAACTCATAGATTATGATATACAATTAGGGACAAGGAGGAGTCCTATACACTCATAGGTATATGGGTGGGTTGGGGTTTTTAGTCAAGAATATTGACTATTACTATTTTTCCCAAATAAAATGGTGATATACGGATCGGATATTTTCCAAGTATATATATACTAATAAGTATTTCATAACTTGGGGGAAAGACTATTTACTTAAGTATCACCCTATGTTTGGGTCTTATACTTAAAACGCTAGTTATTCTATATTTAGCCTGTTACTCGCTCGGTACTTGTACTGACCCCTTCGGGGGGGCCCACCATTTTCAGGTTGAAGCTAGAGCTTGTTACTTGCACCTTCTCACATGTGATATCACATCAGGAAGACGTGGTTCGTGCTTCCTTATTTTCTTTCAAACTACCGAACGCTTGCTCATGGATATTTGTTTTACTATAAACTATTTTTGGGCTTGCATGCCCATGTTGTTGGCCGGTTGCGGCTCATGACTTACCGTTGAATATTTCCGCTATTCATTGGTTAAAATGTGATGTTGTTATGTATGTTTACTACTGAGTATGGATGGATTGTTTTTTTTTCTCGAACGCCTTGTGTAATTAAGTGAGGTTGACTCGTGGGTGACGTCACTTAGTTATACGGCGGTTGTACGCGCGCTTGAATTGCGGTCTGGGGCGTGACAATTTGTGTTGAAGGTGATGAACAAACTGATTATATAATTAATGCTGTTTACAAGAGTTTCGAAATGTGTGGATTGTAGAAACCTTATGGTAACATTTATTTATTTCTATTTATTCCAAAACATGCTTACTACTATTGCATTAGACCTAACTATCTTTTTCTTAATTATAATTTATTATAATTTATGTATTACGTCTTTATTATTAACATGAATTTATATATGAACTAATAATATTAATAAATAAGGAGATATAGCTATTACATTATTTATGTCCCGTGCAATGCAAGGGTGAGAATCTAGTAAAGAGATAAAACAAAAATAGAGTATGAAATTAAACTCATACGGAGTAATAACTTTAATCACATTTTTTCTATAACTTTAATTTTTGTAACATTTTGGGATAACCCCTATTTTTATCAATAAAATATATTTTTGCCACAATTTTTCATGTTTAGTTAATTCGTCCATAATAATAAGTGACTCAGTCAATTCATGTGTTGCCATGGGGGTGTATTAGTTTTGTTTTTTTTGGGATTTTGGATGGGCGAAGTTAAACCACGTGAAAAGCATCTTCTTAAACAGTAACATTCTTTGTTAAAAATAATTTCATAAAAGTATAAATTTTATAACTGTGATATAATTATATTAATCAAAATCATTGATCAAAGTTTACTATCATTGACTTAAAATGTCAAAGACATGATGACAAATTCTAAAGGAACGGAGTTAGTATACACTATGTATATATTAGCGTATGTCGGCCTGATTTGGTATTACTCGACTCTCAATATTTGAAAGGAAAAACCCGTTCACACATACCACTTTATACATTTTTATACACGTTCACCCTTAGTTATCTGTGTAAATAAGTAATTCATTAAAAAATCAAAACTTTAAACTAATCGTCTTTGTGAGCGTTTCAACTGTCAAGAGTGATGTGCACATAATGTAACATTATTCTATTTGAAATTGCTCACATACTATTTCCAAACGACCCTCTTTTCATTAGTGAAAACAATTTATAAAACCTTTAAAATATAATTACTCTATTAGATATGTTCATTGTTCTAAAATGCGGTCTAGTTAGATCAATTAATCATTCTAATCGACCTAGTTGACCATAATTGTAGAGGATTAATCGATCTAGTCAGCCACAAATCAACCTAGTCTAGTAGTCAATTGCATAGGCGCTAGGCGCCCTTCAAGCGATGCGGCCAGCGTCCTGCGAGTTTTAGAAAATGGAAAAGTATCAAATCAGCCCTCAAACTAAAACCGATAGTGCAAATCACCCCCTAAACTATAAAAATGTGCAATCAGAACCTCCAACTAGGTGATATAGTGCAAATTACACCTGAAATTATATAAATCTGCAACGAAATTCTCCAACTCGCTGATATAGTGCAAATGACTTTCCTGACCGGTAATTTACCGATTAAAGCTGATTTGCATCATTTATTTAAAAAATTATGCGACATAAGATTCATGCATTCTCTTCAATATATCTCACATAAACCTTTATTGACTGCTTATAGAATGAGGTTGAGCATGCAATCTCATGAGATGCCCGTGCGTTTCAATGAACTCAAAAACTAAACATAGCACCGCCCCACCACTTCATGAGGAAAACGACCACCGATGAAGGAAGCGGGAGTTTCGAAGATCGGGGATGTTTTAATTTGATTGAAATTTGCTGGTCTGGTCTGTTTAAGTTTGGTCTGAAACTGAAAATCGTCCAAGTAAAAACATCTTAGCTGATTTATGTAACCTTTCTCAATTCTTGTTTAAATATTTTATAATTGTACAATTCAATTTTAAAAAAAAGGCAGCATAACAAAAAAATGTATCAATTTTTGAACTTTAATACTACGTAGCATTTTTTATATCAAAAAACGGTTTCTATTACTTTTACATTTCTACTATTTTTATATTATTATTATAACATTATTTTTAAAATTTATACGAACTTTTATAAGATTTATCAATTTCCCTAATTTAATTTTAAAAGAAACATGCTACACCAGCTCAAAATGACTTGATTGATTGTATTTTAAAAGTAAGCGGACTTATATAATAATTTTCTAGTAGAAGAGTTTAAGTAATAGATTGAAGATAGTAGAAGAATCTATTTGATCATTTATCTTTTTTTAATAAATGACATACATCAGCTTTAATCGGTAAATTACCACTGAGGAAAGTCTTTGCACTATATCGTCGAGTTGGAGAATTTGGTTCCGTTTTTTTTAATTTAAGGGGTGATTTGTGCTATATCGCCGAGTTGGAGGTCCTGATTGCACGTTTTTATAATTTAGGGGGTGATTTGCAGTATTGACGTTAATTCGAGGGCTGATTTGATACTTTTCCTTTAGAAAACTGATATGATACCATTAGAGCAACTCCAGTGGGTGGAGTGCATTGCTGCAGACGCGACAATGAAATGGAGTGGGTCTAGAGCAAATAGAGGTCTATTTAATTTGGAGTGTACTCCAACGAGAAAGGGAACAACAAAAAAATAAATGAAAAATTAATGAAAGAAGAAAGGAAAGCTACGTACATTACCTTCCTTGCTTATCTGGAGTGTCGGAAGGTGGCACCGAAGGTCTGTTTGTAGACCTTGTGCTGGACCTCCTCCCTTGCCGACTCAGATTTTGAAGGTCCATTGACATTACATTGGAGAGTACATTTTACAATGACATGGAACACCAATGCACCCATGCATTTGAGATGCCCTTATAAATTGATGTAAGGGTCAATTGAGTACATCAATTAGTATGAGGTGTAGTAAAGAGTACACACTATTGCATTTGATCTTTTTAAGTACACAACTTCGGGTTTTAAGTGTTAATTGAGCACACCCGATAGATTAACACGTTAATACAGCTGAGTTGAAGGTCGAGTCAGCCCCCAGCAACCTCATCGGCTTCTCCTTAGTCGACGTCAGTCCCCCACAGGTCGACTTCTCCTTTGTCGATGCACCCCTGCTGGCCGATGCCCCTGTAGATCGACCTCCGAAGTTCTACTTTCCCTTTTGGTCAACTACGTGAAGGTTGACGTCATAACCTTGGTCCATTAACCCTTCTTAATGAATATTTCGTTAGCCAACTCAGCTATATTAACGTGTTAATCTAACAAATGTATTCAATTCACTAAAAATCTGAATTTGTGTACTAAATTGAAGTTATCCTTCTTATAAATCGCTACCCATGGCTTGAGTTTGTGTATCCCACCACCCTTCCTCTATGGGTTGTGGCATGACTTTGAGATTAAGCAAAAACTAAAGCGAAAGTATCTCTACACTCCACATATGCATTTGTTGGTTCGTGCCACTTTTAAGTCTATCCAAAGTTCCAAACTACAAAAAGTACGTTAGTGCTCTTCAGCAAACAATTTCTTCTTCTAAACCCTCACTCGCCATTCCATTCTCCATCTGCACTCTATACTTGGCTTCTCCCCTTCATATTTTCTTCCTGGCGTCCCTAATGCACTGATCGCTCCATTTATCGCATCAGAGTCATGGCCGAGATTGCCAAGCTCGTCGATGCTCTCTCCTCCAGCGATGATCTCTCTCTGAGGATTCGTGCCGATTCCTCCCTAAGGACAGGCTTCCAGGAACTTCTTGCGATCATCGAACATGCTATCGAGACGATCGGAAAATGGGAAAATAACGCAGGGTTCGATGTACAGGGCCAGCAGCCTCAGATTCAAGCTGTCGCCTCTCTGGCTCTAGCCGTCGTTAAAGCCACTCGATCCTCCAAGAGTAAGCTCAGAGTCTTCTTAGTGTCAAATTTCCGGTTCATGTTTTTATTCGGAGTTTTTTTTTGCGATATTGTAATTAAAATTGAGAGCTAAGGGTTCTGTGTTTGCGTTGCAGGTGAGCAAGTAGAACCTATAATTCTGGCCGTTATTCAATTGGCTGTTGAGTTTGCACTTTGTTACCTTGAGACATCAACCCGTAACAGCTGTGATGCAATGCTTCAGGTATCTACTTCCCTGCGCATTCACTGATACTTTAATTTAAATGTATGTTCATGATGATGTGCATTATGAAGCATTCATTTCTCTCTTCATATCCATATGGATGTCATGCTGGTTGTCAGTAAATTAATGTTACAAATTTGGTCATTGCTGATTAAAGGTTTATTGAATTTCTCTCAACTCTTAGCTTTTCTTTTTTAGACTAGTTGGACTTCATCAAAGAATTTAGAATTGTATCTTGTATAGATATCCGTTACAGTTGCTCTACATTAACATGCATTGTCATTTACTTATGGAAGTTACAAGTTTACAACACACAATTTTAGCTATTTAGTAGACACTGAGAGCCAAGGAATTCAAACCTACCACCCGAAATGATTGGTAAGAAGTAGTGAAGTACAAATTTTCTAAGTCAATACATCTTATGAGAACCTTCATTTTGGGCTGTCTTTTCTGCTCTCTTGTATTATCACATTTCCAATAAACTAACTAAGACTAGATGTTTTTTCTTGAGCTAGTGTCAGCACCAAGTTTTGCTCACCTGACAAACTCACTCTAGGAATGAAGAACACAACCTTCTTTTATTGTTTTACCAATTGGTTATCTAATACCACATCTGTCAATATCATGTTGAGTTAGGGATTAAGTTTGTAGACTCTCAATCTTTGTGGCACAGAAACACATAGGCTGGTTCTTAACAATAAATTTGTGTAAAGCCACCTATATGCTGAGGAGCAAAGAAAAGCATTTTAACAAATCTCATAGCAGTACCATGTAGGCAAGCGATGCCATAGCCGAATGGTCGATGTAGTATTGTAGTATGTATCTTACTTTGTTTTGAGGGAGGAGTATTGTGTCTCTGAGGCGGGCAGGGACAGAGCAACATGTATTGTTGTCGTGAATTGACATCACATAACATTTTGTTAAATATGTATATTGATGTGTATTTCTTAAAGGATCAATTTGACATCATTAAGTGAAAGGGGGATCATAATACAAATACATTTAGTTGATTGCAAAAAACATGTGTACTAAAATCCCAATGTTAACATTTATACTAGTATTTATCAAATCCAATCAGTCATTCACTAGGATACTATGGGAACTCTAATAGAAGAAGATACCAACAAATCTATGATAATAGAAGTTTAAAGGTGATGATTTATATTCCCTCCGCCCCTTAAAACTTTGCCAACTTTCCTTTTTTTGGTTGTTCCACTAACTTCGACACTTTCTCTTTTAAGTAAAGAATTTGTGGTTCCAGTTAATTCTCTCTCCTCTGCACAAACCTCAACCAAACAGTTTGTACTTTGTTAATCCCCATGCCGGTCAAACTTGGCAAAGTTTTAAGGGACCGAGGGAGTAATATTTAGTCTTATAGGGTCAATATTTTGACTTTACAGGCAATAGTATTATATGGGGAATAAAATTATCAATGCCCATTCCAGCTTCATGTGATCATCTTTATTTACTCCTATTGCCATGGTTTTTTTGTATCCTATATACTAGTATATGCTAGTGCAGTAGTGCCAACGTGATATTTGAGACCGTTGTAAAATCTCATTGAGATATATTCGCAGATTGTTTAATCTCAGAGTTTCAGATCTGTGTGGGGAACTATCGACTTAAATAACACCATATGAACTAGCCGTTGTAGCATCTTCAGAGTTCAGACTGTCCTTTAGTACTACATGTCAACCAGATCTATGGCGGACCTGTAGGTGGAGACACAGCGGTGGAAAGGACAGTCTTCGGAGTTCAGACTGTCCTTTAGTACTACCGTCAAGGTGTCAATATGGTTGTATTAAATACATATGTTTGAAAGTATTGCTAAAGAGAAAACTATGCAATAATTTTTAAATCTAAAAAGCTTCTTGATCACATGTAAAATAAATAATATTATCAATGAATTCATTCTATAATTTTATTTTCATGCCTTACAAAAAAAACTAAAATATTGACATGCTCGAATGCATCTCTAGATCCATCCTTGGGTCTGCCAACATATATTTTGGTGCTTCTAACATGAACTATCTTATTCAGAGTCACATGCTGCAACTGCTGGAAGCAGCACTTGTTGACGGGGAAGACAAAGAGTTTGGTTTTTCACAGCCATCTTTGCAAAATAGTCTTGTAGATCTTTTGCCACCAGTTTACAAAGCACGCGATAGTAGCAAGTGGCAGGAGGAAATTAAATGTTTGCTTCAAGGTATCTATCATCCTATTATAAATATATAATTTCTTATGGGTCTAAATTCCATAACAGTCTTCAAATGTGATTTTCTTTTGTTATTTTATAGGGGGGAGATGTTCAAAGGAAGAGACTGCTGTTGATCACCTTCAGATCACATTAGCCTCTGATTGCATGCATCCTGACAGTATGAATGCAAGCAAAACTGGGCAGTCTGCACGATATGATTTTAACAATTTGAACACTCTGTCTCAGCACTGGGCTGTTGCTCACCTGGGATGTATACACCGTCTTGTTTCCATCTGCAACAATCTTTTAGAAGTTCCGGATTTTTTGGATGATAAGTCTGGCTGCACAAATTTGAGGAAGAAATTATCATTTTGTGTTAAAGTATTGAAGTTACTTGGCAATCTAACAAAAGATAATCCATGCACTCACTTTGACGTCAAATTGCTGAAATCTATTGCTTCTTTCACTGAGACATTGCCTGCCCTGTTCAGAGTAGGTTTTGAATTTGCAAGCAACAGCCCTGTTGTTGAGGGTAGTCTTGAGAGTCTCATAATGCTTTTGTTGGAAGAGTTCATCCAACTTGTACATGCAATTTTTTGCAACACTACAGTGTTTCAGAATATCCAAGCATGTGTAGCAGCTTCTATTTTGGAAAACTATGGTCCAGACTTGTGGAGGTACAGCAATAGTGCTTGCAATCCTAAACCTCCTTTGGCTTACTTCCCTCGAGTTGTTGTTTATCTGTTGAGACTAGTTTTAGATGTTAGGGATAAGACATATCAGCTATCTTGGGGTTTAAACATGGAATATATTAGCTGTGACACTGATTCTCAAATGGAGTCTCCCACATGCAAGGTAAACTCAGATATGGTATTCCTGCTGAAGAAGTACACAGTTGAGGAGCTTTTCAAAATAATGTTCCCTCCTTGTGTTCAATGGGTGGATAATTTGATGCATCTTGTTTATTTTCTTCACTCTGAGGGTGTCAAATTGAGGCCAAAGTTGGACAGATCATCCTCTACTATCACTAAAGTATCCTCTACTTCTGAATCAGAAACCACTGTTCATGAAGACGAAGCGCTCTTTGGGGACCTTTTCTCAGAGGGGACTCGCTCGGTGGGTTCTGCAGATGGATATGATCAAGCTACAATTGCATCTAGTTCTGTTTCCAACTTTAGCAATATACTAGCTCAAGCTGAAAGTGAACTGCTCACTTTTCTTAAGAACTGTGCTTTTGCTCCAGAGTGGTGTCGTCCTTTCTATGAAGATGGGTGCCGAAACTTGAAGAGTAATCACCTTAGTATTCTACTCTCTGTAGTTCATTCCCATTCACGTGATCCTGATGTAAGAAGTTCTGATGCTACTAAACTGAAGCATGGACAAGTCATTCATGAACTTTGCATTGAGCTGCTTCATAATCTTCTCTCTTTTCATGCTTTATCTGATTCACTTGAAGAAGCCCTTGTTGAGAACATCCTTACAGTTCAAAATGGTGCACTTTTGTACGACAACCAAACTCTTGCCTTACTTGCACAAACAATTATCTGTCGGGTGGATTTGGCAGGTAGTCACTTGAGGTCCAAAGTTTATGAGGTTTCTGTTGATTATATTTGTGAAAAGACAAAAGTGATTTCGTCAAACTGTCCTACTATTAAAGAGTTTGTTGGAAACCTCCCCTCTTTGTTTCATATTGAGATTCTTCTAATGGCATTTCATTTATCATCCATGGATGAAAAGACAGCACATGCAAAACTAGTATTTGCTACCCTTAGAGCTATCGGTAATCCTGCTGGTTTTAATGACACACAACTTTCATGCTGGGCATTAATAGTTTCACGTTTGATTGTGGTGCTCCGTCACATGCTATATTACCCCCGTGTTTGCCCCTCATTCTTGATTTCTGACTTCAGAACCAGGTTGAGAGAAGCCTCCTTAGCAGGATTACATTCTTGCAGCGGCTCTGTAAATGTTTCATCATGGCCGTTGGTTTTGTTGGATGGTGTAACTGGTGCATCAATTAAAGAACCTTTTATCAATGATTTGCTGGATCACCTTATCGATATTGCACCTCCACCTGCAGCTGTATGTAGAGACAGTCCATCTGTTGAATGCTTGGGTTTGAGCTGGGATGAAATATGTGCCTCTTTCTCCTGGATACTATCATTCTGGAAAGGTAGAAAACCAGAAAACGTAGAAGATTTAATTCTTGAAAGATATGCTTTTGTGCTTTGTTCGGATATTCCGATTATAAAATCAACCCAAGAGCATATGCTGCTTCTCTTACATGGCACAATTGATTTTGACATTTCAAATACTGAGCATTTTCTGTATTTTAGTCAAGCCATTTTGGGTAAAGCTGGTGGTGTCATCGATCATGCTACTTTTTCAAGTCGTTTTTTGTCCTTGCTTCACCAGTTGCATGATTCACCAGTTCCAGAGGATGCTGGAGAACTTGGCTGGGATTTATTGAGGAGTGGGTCTTGGTTGTCATTGTTACTGTCCATCCTAACCACTGGCATCTTGGCTTACTGCAGGAAAAAGTCCATAACATATGTTGTCCCGATGTGGATAGAGCATGCATCTAGAGATGCAGATTTTTTTGCATTAGGTGATAGCTTTATGTCTATTTTATGTCCAAATCATGTTGCACAGCTTGTAAATATTATCTCATCTTTGCTGAAGAAATACTTGCAAGTGTACCAGAAGGCTTTCCTTTTGACATTTAATAGCAGACAACATCTTGCTGGGGGGATGTCTCCCCTCCTGCTTTTCACTCACACTGGCTTTGATAAGTGCATGCAAGATGAGATATTTGAGAAGATGGGGTTTAAACAGTGCCAATTAGATCCCCTTAAAGAACTTATATCAAAGTTGGGTGTAGCTGTTGACAAATTATCTTTTGGAATTCGGTGCAAGATTTTCTGGAAATCAGTATTGCATGGCTTGCCTTGTCATGTTCAGGCTCCCAGTGGAATTCTTCTATCCTCTATTCTTAGTATTGTGGATATTGTGACTGCTCTTCATGGATTGCTGAGGATAGTAGATGCTGGTGAAAATATTTGCTTGGAGAAACAGGCCATACCCCAGATTCTTGAACTGGTACTAAGAATCAAGTGTGACAGGGTTTTAGAGGGGATCCATGGGATATGTGAAACCATTTACCAAGACCTGACCTCTGATGCATCTGACTATAGTAGTGTATTTATTATAAAATGCATTGATGAGGTTTTGAGCAACGTAAATGAGAGAGAAGTTTGCAATAGTAGTGTCCATGAATGCTTGGTTTCCTATGCTGTAGACATTGTTAATAACTTGAAAAAAGACCCTTCCAAATTTGGAGTTTTCAAGTATTTGCTGTCTGAGGAGGATGTCTCCGAGGGGATTTTGAAGAATCTATATGGATCACAACATAGTGATTTGTTGTTTCTGGTTGAGTCACTGGATAATTGCAATTCTGAAGCTGTCAATATAAAGGTGTTCAATTTTTTTGTTGAGCTCTTATCCGGGGACTTCTATACTGATATTAAACACAATTTACAGAAGAAATTCCTTGGCATTAATTCACTTCACCTCTCAAAGTGGCTTGAAAGGAGGCTTTTAGGATCTATGATTGAAGGGACCAGTGGTGATTCATGTGCTAAAGGAGCTTCAGTCTCTCTAAGAGAGTCAACCATGAATTTTATCACATGCCTTATTTTCCCGGCTTCTGAAGTTCAATCTGAAACACTACACAGTCACATATTTGAAGCTATGTTAACTTCACTTGACAGTGCCTTTATGCTGTTTGATTCCACTACCGCGAAGTGTTATTTGAATTTGGTCATTCAGATTTGTAGAGGGGAAAACTCAATCAAGGCACTTTTGGAGCGGCTCATAATGCTGATAGATAAGCTAGCTGGTAACGAAAATCTGCTCCAGGGATTGAAATATATTGTTGACTTTCTTGCTACCCTTCTAAGTGATAGCAGCTCTATCAAGGATTCTGTTGATAAGCCATCTGTGAAACCTGCTTGTGGTCATAGTTTGGGATTGGTTCCTTCAGCTTCTAAAATCCCAGGTTCCAGGAAGAATGCTGATACTATGGTCCTTTCTGCTAGTCAAGGGGGGTCGGCGTCCCTAGAGTGTGATGCAACTTCGGTAGATGAAGATGAGGATGATGGAACATCTGATGGGGAAATTGGAAGCATTGACAAAGATGAAGAGGAAGATAACAGTGAAAGAGCTCTTGCCTCAAAAGTCTGCACATTCACTTCCAGTGGCAGTAATTTTATGGAACAACATTGGTACTTCTGTTACACGTGTGATCTGACAGTGTCCAAAGGCTGTTGCTCTGTGTGCGCTAAAGTTTGTCATCGCGGTCATCGTGTAGTCTACTCCCGTTCTAGTCGTTTTTTCTGTGATTGTGGAGCAGGAGGTGTACGAGGTAGCAGCTGTCAGTGCTTGAAGCCTAGAAAATTTACTGGGAGTAACAATGCTCCCAATCGTAGTTCTGGCAACTTCCAGCCATTCCTGCCTTTCACAGGAGATCAATTGCCTGATAGCGAGTCAGATGATGAGGATATTTTTGTAGACTCAGAGAATTCAGTTAGGATACAAATTCCAAAAGAGGTTCAAGACAGAATTCCAATCATATTGAATGAACTTGACATTGAATCTCATGTATTGAGACTCTGCTCATCATTGTTGCCCCCCATTGTAAGCAGAAGAGATTCCAGCCTGTCAAGAGAGAGAAACATCTGCCTGGATGAGGATAAAGTGCTTTGTTACAGTAGTGATATTTTACAATTGAAGAAAGCCTACAAAAGTGGATCTTTGGACTTGAAGATAAAGACAGACTATTCCAATACAAAGGAGCTCAAATCTCATCTTACTAGTGGTTCTCTCATTAAATCCTTACTTAGTGTCAATATTCGAGGCCGACTTGCTGTCGGAGAAGGTGACAAAGTAGCCATATTTGATGTTGGGCAGCTTATTGGACAACCCACTGTTGCTCCTGTGATGGCAGACAAGGCCAATGTGAAACCCCTCTCTAAGAATGTTGTCCGTTTTGAGATTGTGCATCTCGTTTTCAATCCTTTAGCTGAGAACTACCTTGCTGTTGCTGGCTATGAGGACTGCCAGGTTCTTACTGTGAACCATCGAGGTGAAGTGAATGATCGTTTAGCTATCGAACTTGCTCTGCAAGGTGCATATATCAAACGTATTGACTGGGTTCCTGGATCTCAGGTTCAGCTAATGGTCGTCACCAACAGATTTGTTAAAATATATGATTTATCCCAGGACAACATTAGTCCTATGCAGTACTCAACATTACCTGATGACATGATTGTTGATGCAACCTTGGTCATGGCTCCCCAAGGTAGGGGGTTTATTATCGTCCTCTCAGAGAATGGTTGCTTATATAGGTTAGAATTATCAGTGAAAGGAAATGTTGGGGCCAAACCACTCAATGAAGTGATGCAAATAGAGGGCAGAGATGTGCATCCAAGAGGCTCTTCGTTATATTTTTCACCAATCCATAGGTTGCTGTTTCTGTCTTTTCAGGATGGCACTACTTTGGTTGGCCGGTTAAATCCTGATGCAACATCCCTGACCGAGATATCTGCTGTATTGGATAATGAAGTTGATAGTGATCCCCGGCCAGCAGGATTGCACCATTGGAGGCAGTTATTCAGTGATGGTGCTTTATTTGTTTGCTTTTCAAGTTTGAAATCGAATGCTGCCTTTGCTGTTTCTATAGGTGAGCATCAGGTTTCTGCTCAGAACATGCGACATTCAGTTGGCTCTACTTCTCCTGTAGTTGGTATTGCTGCTTACAGCAAGCCTCTGTCAAAAGACAAAATACACTGCCTTGTTTTACATGATGATGGTAGCCTTCAGATATATTTGCATGTTCCAGCCGGTGTGGACACTGACATTAGTGCAATTACTGATAAAGTTAAAAAGTTGGGTCCTGGTATCCTTGACAACAAAGCATACGGTGGTTCCAGACCTGAATTTCCACTTGATTTTTTTGAGAAAACCACATGCATTACACATGACGTGAAACTAAGCAGTGAAGCAATCAAGAATGGTGACTCTGAAGCAGCAAAACAGACTTTAGCTACCGAAGATGGGTTCTTGGAGAGTCCCGGTCCTGGTGGGTTTAAGGTAAGCTTAGCTACTTTTATTGAGTCTTTTTAATTCATAATGTGTTCTTGCTTTGATATTTTTGAAAATTTGATCTGAGTAATAGAATATTATAGAGAAGCCTAGATAGGATCATCATGCAATTCATGGATCAGTTCTGTCTTCTTTTTCTCTTTTCCATTGGGATTGCCTCCTTGTAGTATGGCAGAAGAATCCTATTTCAAATTTCTTAAAGCCAACACAGTTATATTTAGTATGGAAACGTTGATCCCTTTTACAATGATGTCTTGTTTTCTCAGATTACTGTCTCCAACTCAAATCCCGACATTTTGATGGTTGGTCTACGCCTGCATGTGGGTAACACCTCAGCAGATCATATACCCTCTGAAGTCACTGTTTTTCAGAGAGCCATAAAATTAGACGAGGGAATGAGGTCTTGGTATGATATCCCATTCACTGTGGCTGAATCACTGCTTGCTGATGAAGAGTTTACACTTTGTATTGGACCTACATTCAATGGATCTGCATTACCACGTATCGATTCTTTGGAAGTTTATTGCCAAGCAAAGGATGAATTTGGGTGGAAAGAGAAGATGAATGATGTTCTAGATATGGAAGCTCACATTCTTGGCTCTAACTCATGGGCTGCTGGAACAGGTAGGAAGTTTCATGCAACACAGTCTGTTCAATTTCAAGAGCAGGTAATGGCTGATAGCCTCAATGTGTTATCAAGTATTTATGCCTTGTCCAAACCACGAGGGTGCTCAAAGGTCGAGGATGTTAAGTTGGAGCTTAGCAAACTCAAGTGCAAGCAGTTGCTGGAAACAGTGTTTGAGAGTGATAGAGAGCCTTCATTACAGTCCGCTGCCTGTCGTGTCTTGCGAGCTGTCTTTCCCAAAAGAGAGATGTATCACCAAGTAATTGCTTAATAACCACTTTGTTTGAAGATGGTTCCCTTTGTATATTCATTCATTCATTCATTTTTACTTTTCTGTATTGCTTGGGAAATTTTCCATGTCTAGAATACTCTACGTTTAATTCAACGTTTGCTCTTAGGTTAAAGATGCAATGCGCCTTACTGGCGTTGTTAAATCTGCTGCAATGCTTTTGTCAAAGCTGGGAATTGGGGGAACAACTGCTGGATGGATCATTGATGAATTCACTTCACAGATGTGTGCTGTTTCTAAGATTGCTCTACATCGCCGCTCAAACCTGGCTAGTTTTATTGAGATGAATGGTAATTTTCTTATATAAGTGCAAATTGCTGTCAGGCTGTGATTTGGATTTGTGTATGTGTCTAGGTATAATGAATTTCTTATTTTCTGTCACAAGTAGTTATTATTGTTTCTTAGATACATTATATGTTGCTCCTTAACTGCTTCTACTGTTTACGTGGCAGTTCATTTATTTTCAGAGTTCATAAGATTTATTGGCTCTAAATGCAGGTTCAGAAGTGGTCGATGGGCTAATGCAGGTTTTGTGGGGAATTTTGTACATAGAGCAGCCTGACACTCAAACTATGAACAACATAGTTGTATCTTCTGTAGAGCTTATTTACTGTTATGCTGAGTGTCTAGCCTTGCATGGGAAGGATGGAGGCAGGAGTTCTGTTGCACCTGCAGTGTCATTGTTTAAAAAACTTCTGTTTTCAGCCAATAAGGCTATTCAAACATCCAGCAGGTGGATATAATACTTTGGTTTAAAATTTTGTTGTTCAGTCATTTTTTCTTCTCCATCATCTCATATCTTCTTTTGGTTTATTTTCAGCTTGGCTATATCTTCAAGATTGCTACAAGTTCCTTTCCCAAAGCAAACAATGTTAGGCACAGATGATGCTGACAACTCGTCATCTGCTCCAAACCGAGCTGTTGCTTCTACCGGAGGCGGTGGAAGTACTCAAGTCATGGTCGAAGAAGATTCCATAACTTCATCTGTCCAATACTGTTGTGATGGCTGCTCTACGGTTCCCATCCTCAGGCGAAGATGGCACTGTACTATTTGTCCCGATTTTGATTTATGTGAAACATGCTATGAAGTGCTTGATGCAGACAGGCTTCCTCCCTCGCCACATTCTAGAGATCACCCTATGACACCTATTCCCATTGAAGTGGAAAACTTTGGGGATGGCAATGGAATTCATTTTACTAGTGATGATATAAGTGACTCTGGTTTGTTGCCTGTTGCATCTGATGTTGGAACACAGAATTCTGCTCCATCTATTCATGAATTGGAGCAGAATGATTCTGGAGAATTTTCTGCATCACTGCTTGATCCGGTTACAATTTCTGCATCCAAAAGGGCTGTCAACTCACTGCTTCTCTCAGAGCTCCTTGAACAACTGAAGGGATGGATGGAAAATACCACAGGCGTTCAGGCTCTTCCTGTCATGCAGCTTTTCTACAGACTGGCTTCTGCTGTTGGCGGACCCTTTTCTGACAGCTCAGAGCCTGAAAGTATAGATTTGGAGAAATTGATAAAATGGTTTTTGGTGGAGATAAACTTGAGTAAACCTCTTGCAGCTAAAAACAGGACACCCTCTGGTGAAGTCACGATTTTAATATTTATGTTCTTCACCTTAATGTTGCGAAACTGGCATCAGCCAGGAAGTGAAGGTGGCTCTGTTTCTAAATCTGGAAGTTCAACTGAAGCACAAGACAAAAGTGCATTACTGATTCTTGCTTCTACATCAATGGCTGCCTCATCAATAGTGGATGGACAAGAAAAAGATGATTTCATTTCTCATCTGCTTCGAGCTTGTGGTACCCTTAGGAATCAAACATTTGTTAATTATCTGATGGATATTCTGCAGCAGCTGGTGAATGTTTTCAAGTCACCATCAGTTACCACTGATGCATCTTATGGTCCAAATGCTGCTTCTGGATGTGGTGCATTGTTGACTATGCGGAGAGAGGTGCCAGCAGGCAATTTCTCACCCTTCTTTTCAGACTCCTATGCAAAATCACACCGCGCTGATATATTTGTAGACTACCATAGACTCTTGCTGGAGAACACTTTCCGGCTTCTTTACAGTATGATACGACCAGAAAAGCATGAAAAGGGTGTGGAGAAAGAAAAACCTTACAAAGTGTCTCTGAGCAAGGATTTGAAGCTGGATGGATATCAGGATGTCCTTTGCAGCTACATTAATAATCCACATACAGCTTTTGTTAGAAGGTATGCAAGGAGGCTCTTCTTGCATCTATGTGGAAGTAAGACACAGTACTACAGTGTTCGAGACTCGTGGCAGTTCTCGAATGATTTGAAAAAGCTTTATAAACATGTTAATAAATCTGGTGGGTTTGAAAGTACTATCACCTATGAGAGGAATGTTAAAATAGTCAAGTCCCTATCCACCATGGCTGAAGTTGCTTCATCTCGACCTCGAAACTGGCAGAAGTACTGCTTGAGGCATGCTGATGTTCTACCTTATCTTGTGAGTGGGGTTTTCTGTTTTGGGGAAGAATGTATAGTTCAGACATTAAAGCTTCTGAATTTGGCCTTCTATACTGGGAATGTTAACAACCACTCTTCACAAAAAACTGAAGGGGGTGATGTAGGAATAGCTGCAAACAAGTCAGGTGCACAACCACTTGAATCCAAGAAGAAGAAGAAGGGGGAAGAGAGTGAGTCAAGTGCTGAAAAATCTCACTTTGATATGGAAGCAGTGGTAGATGTCCTCGTTGGCAAGGGTGGTGATACATTGAAGCAATTTATTGACTGTTTTTTACTGGAATGGAACTCTAGCTCTGTGCGTGTAGAAGCCAAATTTGTCCTGTTCGGTGTCTGGCATCATGGAAATCAATCTTTTAAAGAGACACTGCTTTCTGTACTTCTGCAGAAAATGAAGTTTTTGCCAATGTATGGGCAGAACATCACTGAATATACTGAGCTTCTCACATTCTTGTTGGGCAAGGTGCCAGAGAACAGTTCAAAGCAACAATGTGCTGAAGTATTAGAGAAATGCTTGTCCAATGATGTGATCAGGTCCATATTTGACACACTTCACTCTCAGAATGAGCTGTTGGCTAATCATCCCAATTCGCGCATATATAACACTTTAAGCGGTCTGGTGGAATTTGATGGTTACTATCTTGAGAGTGAACCTTGTGTTGCCTGCAGCTCCCCTGAGGTGCCATATAGCAGGATGAAACTTGAAAGCTTAAAATCAGAAACAAAGTACACAGACAACCGCATCATTGTTAAATGTACTGGTAGCTATACAATTCAGAGTGTGGTTATGAATGTCCATGATACTCGCAAGTCAAAGTCAGTGAAAGTCCTAAACCTTTATTACAACAACAGGCCTGTGGCCGACCTTTCAGAGTTGAAGAATAATTGGTCTTTGTGGAAGCGTGCAAAGAGCTGCCATCTTGCTTTTAATCAGATAGAGCTGAAAGTGGATTTTCCAATACCAATCACTGCATGTAATTTCATGATTGAGCTGGATTCTTTTTACGAAAATCTCCAAGCTTTATCCCTTGAGCCTCTGCAGTGTCCTCGTTGCAGTCGACCTGTCACGGATAAGCATGGTATTTGTGGTAATTGTCATGAGAATGCTTATCAGTGCCGACAATGCCGGAATATCAATTATGAAAATCTTGATTCATTTTTATGCAATGAATGCGGATACAGCAAGTATGGTAGATTTGAATTCAATTTTATGGCAAAGCCAAGTTTCACCTTTGATAGCATGGAAAATGATGAAGATATGAAGAGGGGCTTGGCTGCTATTGAGTTTGAATCTGAAAATGCTCATAAGAGGTATCAGCAGCTTTTAGGCTTCAAAAAACCTTTGCTCAAGATAGTATCAAGTATTGGTGAGAATGAGATGGACTCACAGCAGAAGGATTCTGTTCAGCAAATGATGGTTTCTTTACCTGGACCTTCCTGTAAGATAAACCGGAAAATTGCTCTTCTTGGGGTCTTGTATGGTGAGAAATGTAAAGCGTCTTTTGATATTGTGAGCAAAAGTGTTCAAACTCTGCAAGGTCTGCGGCGGGTTTTAATGAACTACTTGCATAAAAAACAATCTGGAAATGCTACTGCAACCTCTCGATTGGTTGTTTCTCGGTCGCCAAACAGTTGCTATGGATGTGCTTCTACGTTTGTTACTCAATGTGTGGAGATATTACAGGTGCTATCAAAGCATCCGGCTACTAAGAAGCAACTTGTTGCAGCTGGTATTCTGTCAGAGCTCTTTGAAAACAACATTCATCAGGGCCCAAAAACAGCACGTGTCCAAGCAAGGGCAGCCCTTTGTGCCTTCTCAGAAGGTGATTTGAATGCAGTTTCCGAGTTGAACACTCTAATGCAGAAAAAAGTGCTTTATTGTCTTGAACATCATCGTTCCATCGACATTGCCCTGGCCACGAGAGAAGATCTGTCCTTACTATCTGATGTGTGTTCTTTGGCTGATGAATTCTGGGAATCAAGATTGAGGGTTGTCTTCCAGTTGTTATTTTCTTCTATTAAATCAGGAGCTAAACATCCTGCTATATCAGAGCATGTTATTCTCCCATGCCTACGGATCATATCACAGGCATGTACTCCTCCTAAGCCTGATGCAGCTGAGAAAGAGCATGTGATGGGGAAACCAGCTCAGGATACACAAGTGAAAGAAGAAAGCAGGGGAAATGTATCTGGATCTATTACCCTTGTCAGTAGTGGAAGCAAACTTGTATCAGAATCATTGGAAAAGAGTTGGAGTGATTCTCATCAAGTACAAGATATACAATTACTGAGTTACTCAGAATGGGAAAAAGGAGCTTCATATCTTGATTTTGTGAGGCGTCAATATAAGGTATCTCAGGTATCAAAAGGTGTTCAAAGATCTCGACTTCAGAAACACGACTATCTGGCCTTAAAGTATGGTCTAAGGTGGAAGCGGCGTGGGTGTAAATCAGCTCGAAGTGATATGCCATCTTTTGAGCTCGGTTCATGGGTTTCAGAACTTATATTGAGTGCATGTTCACAGTCTATAAGATCTGAAATGTGCATGTTGATTAGTTTGCTGTGTGGCCAAAGTCCAATGAGACGACATCGCTTGTTAAACCTTCTCATGTCTTTGCTTCCTGCAACTCTTTCTGCTGGTGAAAATGCTGCTGAATATTTTGAATTGCTTTTTAAGATGATAGACTCAGAAGATGCTTGCCTTTTCTTGACTGTCAGTGGATGCTTGAAAACAATATGCAAATTGATAACCCAAGAACTGAGTAATGTTGAGTCCTTAGAGAGGAGTTTGCATGTTGACATTTCACAGGGATTCATTCTTCACAAGCTAATAGAGCTCCTTGGAAAATTTTTGGAGATTCCTAACATCAGATCCAGGTATGTGTTCTTAGTTCTGCTCTATTGACAGAGAATCTGCTTGTTTTGCTGACAATTTTATTCCATGGCAGATTTATGAGAGAGCATTTACTGTCTGAGGTACTTGAAGCTCTTATTGTCATAAAAGGGTTGGTTGTGCAGAAGACAAAGCTGATAAACGATTGCAATAAGCTTCTCAAAGATCTTTTGGATAGTCTTCTACTGGAGAGAGATGAAAATAAACGTCAATTTATCCAAGCATGCATCTCTGGTCTTCAAATTCATGGAGACGAGAGCAGAGGAAGAACTTCTTTGGTACGTGGTGAATTCTTGTATTTCATTTGTTAAAACCTATTAGTAGACAATTTATTTTTCCTTGTCTAAATGATCATGGATCACCTCAAGAATGTGACAACATATTGTCAATGCATTTACAGTTCATATTGGAGCAACTATGCAACTTGATCAGTCCACCAAAACTGGAACCTATTTATCTCTTGATCTTGAACAAGGCACATACACAAGAAGAGTTTATTAGGGGATCAATGACAAAAAATCCTTATTCAAGTGCAGAAGTAGGCCCGCTGATGCGTGATGTTAAAAACAAAATTTGCCAACAGCTGGATCTCTTGGGTCTTCTTGAAGACGACTATGGCATGGAGTTGTTAGTAGCTGGAAATATAATATCTCTTGATTTGAGCATTGCTCAGGTTTATGAGCAAGTGTGGAAGAAGCCCAGTAGTCACTCTTCAAACACAGTTACTGGGACAATGTTGGTTTCCTCTACTTCTGTAGCATCTGCCAGAGATTATCCTCCAATGACAGTGACTTACCGTTTACAGGTATCATATTCTTTTTTTTTTTTGGTAAAATTCGTTGCTTCAAAGCCCCATGTTATAAAATGTGGGGGTTTCTTGTCCGTAGGTCTGTCAGAGAGCATTAGCATTAGTCACGAAGTTCAAAATCAAATGGTTGTGCTGTTTAATAATTGTATCTATTGACAATTTTATCCCTGCAATTTATCTAGGGTCTAGACGGGGAAGCCACTGAACCCATGATTAAAGAACTGGATGAGGACAGAGAGGAAACCCAGGACCCAGAGGTCGAGTTTGCCATTGCTGGAGCAGTTCGGGAATGTGGTGGACTAGAGATCCTTTTGGGGATGGTTCAGGTACTAGGATTATTTTCAGTTTAACTATAATTTTTGTGTTAAACCTATGCTTTTGTATTCTCATGGAGTCATGGTGAGTTGTCATAGAGGATTGAAAAGGTGTGTAAATTATCCCTATTTGGTAGACATTGGTCGGCTTATTCTTCTTATGAGTAGAATAATCAGAATAAGTTGAATTTGACTTACTTGTGTGGCTGAAGTCTAGTTAACCAGACGTTTTCCATTTCAGAGTATTCAGCATATTCTGACATTTCATTCAAACAACCTTTACTGATGGGTCTAACTTAGTTTGCATCTTACTATGAATTATGTACATTGTGATCACAACCTTGCACTGTGGTATTTGAATATCCCAAATCCTCTTAATCCTCTTGCGTCTATAATGCAGCGTTTGCAAGATGATTTCAAGTCCAATCAAGAGCAGCTAGTTGCAGTCCTTAACCTGCTCATGCTCTGCTGTAAGATAAAAGAAAACAGAAAAACACTGCTTAGTCTGGGAGCTTTAGAATTGCTACTTGAAACAGCACGACGAGCTTTCCTTGTGGAAGCCATGGAGCCAGCTGAGGGCATCCTACTGATTGTAGAGAGTTTAACATTAGAAGCAAACGACAGCCATAGCATTAGCATTACTCCTGGTGTGCTCACAGTGTCAAATGAAGAAAGAGGTGGTGGTGGTGAACAAGCCAAAAAAATAGTTCTCCTCTTCCTAGAGAGGTTGTCTCATCCATCTGGTCTTAAAAAATCAACCAAACAACAGAGAAACACAGAGATGGTTGCAAGAATTTTGCCGTACTTGACCTATGGAGAACAGGCAGCAATGGAAGTGCTCATCCACCATTTTGAACCGTTTTTACAGAATTGGGCTGAATTTGATAGACTGCAAAGGCAGTATGAAGACAATCCAAAGGATGATGGTATTTGTCAGCAAGCATCCAAGCAAAAATTCACCCTGGAAAACTTTGTAAGAGTTTCAGAATCCCTCAAAGCAAGTTCCTGTGGGGAGAGGCTGAAAGATATGATACTGGAAAAGGGGATTACAGGATCTGCTGTTAAACATCTAAAAGATAGCTTTGCATTTACTGGGCAGGAAGGTTACAGATCTACTGTTGAGTGGGCTGTGGGATTAAAACTGCCATCTGTTCCCCTCATATTGTCCATGCTAAGAGGGTTGTCCATGGGACATTTAGCTACTCAGACTTGTATTGATCAAGGAGGGGTCTTACCTTTGCTCCATGCTTTGGAGGGTGTCTCTGGTGAGAATGAGATTGGGGCAAGGGCTGAAAATTTGTTGGACACACTTTCTGATAAGGAGGGAAAAGGTGATGGTTTCTTGACTGAGAAGGTCTGTCAGCTGAGACATGCAACACGAGACGAGATGAGGCGTCGTGCTCTAAAGAAAAGGGAACAGTTACTTAAGGTTAATTTTCTATAACTTTTTTATTTACTTTTTGAATCCATTATACTGGCAAATTTTTGCTCCAATTCAATTGCTCCAATTTTTTAATCATATTTTTAACATTTATACTGGCAAGTCTTTGCTCCAATTTAATTGCCAACTCAGGGCTTCAATTAATAATTTGAACCAACCACACAATAAAAGTATATGTGTTCTTCTTTTGATTATTGGAAGATAACCAACCATGACTCCCTCTATCCCCAAAAGAGTAGTTTGAAAACTTAATTTTGTTCCTAAAAAGAGTCCTATTTGAGAAAAAAATTGTTCACTATATAATTGTTTTTTGCCCGAAAAAGTGTTCCGAACAATGGTAGCATGTTTAATTTAGTTAAATCCAAAAAAAGAAATGTTAACAAATAACAAACATCTACGGAATGGCGTTTTATTGGGAGATGGAAATGCAATTACACATGAATACATGATGAACCAATAAAACCTCACCACTTTCAAATTTTTAAACAATGTCTAAGGACTTGTTAGCATGATTTATTTTAAAAATATAGCTACAATTGATTATTTCCTATTGTTTTAAGTTTAAATAGTAATAAATATTGTACTTCAGCGAACAAGATTATTTTTAGATAGAGGGACACAGCTCTGATATTTAACATGTGATGTGGTTTTTGTTGTGTAGGGTCTTGGGATGCGGCAAGAACTAGCTTTGGATGGGGGTGACCGTATTGTGGTTGCTCAGCCAGTCTTGGAAGGTCTAGAAGATGTGGAGGAAGAGGATGGGTTGGCTTGCATGGTGTGTCGCGAAGGGTACCGGTTACGCCCCACAGACCTACTAGGTGTTTACACTTACAGTAAACGGGTGAGCCTTGGTGTAGGAACTTCAGCAAGTGCACGTGGTGACTGTGTTTACACTACGGTCAGCCATTTCAACATCATACACTTCCAATGTCATCAGGAAGCTAAAAGAGCAGATGCTGCACTGAAGAATCCGAAAAGGGAGTGGGACGGTGCAGCACTTAGAAACAACGAGACACTTTGCAACAATCTCTTTCCGCTAAGGGGTGCATCAGTCCCAATGGGTCAGTATGTGCGTTTTGTGGACCAGTACTGGGAATACCTCAATGCTCTTGGGCGTGCTGATGGAAACCGGCTCCGCCTTTTAACTTACGACATAGTTCTGGTATGCCTCTCTCCTAGTTCCTTCATCCTTTCACACGTTATTCAGCATATCCCTTGGATCTGTAATAGTTGTCTATTGATCAACATTATTTCGTTCCTGTTCATGTAGCACATCATTGAGGTAAAACATACAGTAGTAAAAGCCTAAGAACCAGTTTGGTTTAGCTTTTTTTCTCACCATCCAAATTTTTTACCAACTAGAGTTTATTTTGTTGCATGAACTATTTTTTGGCTGAAATAAAAGAAAATGGCATTCATTCATTTTTAGATATTATTTGAGAATGGGTAGGGAGTATGTGAGATCCAGCAAGTGTTGCCTGATGATAATGCATTTACCAGTATTATTATTTTCTGCCAGATGCTTGCTCGGTTTGCAACGGGGGCTTCATTTAGTGCGGACAGCAGAGGCGGTGGAAAGGAAAGCAACGCACGGTTTTTGCCTTTCATGATACAAATGGCACATCACCTCCTTGACCACGACTCCACCCTGCGGCAGTCCATGGCCAAGTCAATCTCAAGTTATTTGGCTTCATCATCAGACTCTAAACACACATTATTGTCTTCCGGAACAGAAGAAACAGTCCAGTTCATGATGGTCAGCTCACTTCTTGTGGAATCATATGACTCCTGGTTGGAGCATCGCTTTGGGTTCTTGCAGCGAGGAATATACCACGCATACATGCAGCACACTCACGGTCGGCGGCCGAGTCCGTTGGACTCACCAGGAATGACAAGCAGTGCCGGTGAACCAAACAGTGGGGGGTTGCTGTCAATCATACTACCAATGCTTGTGTACTTGGGATTGATTGAGCAACTACAGCGATTCTTCAAGGTGGTAAAGAAAACATCAGCCGCCACAGTGGATGAAGCGGAGGGGTTGGAAGGTTGGGAAGTGGTGATGAAAGAAAGAGTTTTGAATGTGAAGGAGATGGTTGGGTTCTCCAAAGAACTATTATCATGGCTTGACGACATGGTCTCTGCATCAGATTTGCAGGAGGCGTTTGACATCCTCGGTGTTTTGAGTGATGTGCTCTCCGGTGGTGGTGGCGGTGGCGGTGGCGGGTTCAACTCGTGCGAAGATTTTGTTCGTGCTGCAATTGATGCCAAAACCCCATGATGTTTCATCTTTTATCTCTTGCTGATGCGATGAGCACTTCTTTCCGTGGAGCACCTTCATATTATGTAGCAACTACCAAGCATGTACTTCTGTAAGTCTGTAACTATAATAATTTTGTATAATGAGATACTTCAATTCACACGCGATAATGATGTTTTGACAAAAGATGAGTGTTATTATCGATAACATTTGTAAAACAAAAATGAATTGTATAGAGCGCATATGGAAGGCACGAAAGTGAAAGTTGAACGCTACACTTCTTTTGGGGTAAATGTTAAATAAATGCTATAAATGGGCAAAATTTTCAATGGTAAGGTGCACCCAGCACCCCCCAGCAGCCTTCAACTGCAGATTAGACACAACTCACACAAGAATACAGCGTATACAACATTCAAACTACAGGCCACAATGCCAAGTGCAGCTGTGCAAGACACCCAGGGCTCAAATCAGACAAAACAGCTAACCAAACACGGATTAAGGGGGAAGGATCTCAAAAATCAATCCACTTGGGGGTATAATCTGTACAAAACCTTATAAATAACCACTTTGATATGCAAAATCAGGCCTGCACCCTATACTGCTACACCTTTAACTAAGGAGTACTTTATAATGCTACGTAATTACTACTCCGTAATTAGTAGCACCGATACTTTAATGATGTATCTCTGTGTTACTGTGTATTGAAACGTTTCAGCATCACATACTTGTGTCATTAGGGTATGCAGTGCATCTGAATTTTCTTTAAATAATCAGGTCTATTTGTAATTTTTGCAAAAGAGGATAGTGCCCTTATTTAATAGTCATTCTGTCCCTATATATTATCTTCAAACTTTTTTTTTCGTCTGTCCCAAAATTATCTCATCTTTTCCTTTTTGGCAAAGAATTTGTGGTTCTCAACCATTCTTACACATTCTTACGCATTTATCTCTCCTTTGCACAACTTTCTACCACACAATTTCTCATTATCTTAATTTGTGTGCTCATTCACAGGAGAAGTTTTTATAGAGACGAGGGAGTACTCCGTAGTCCGTACCTAACACCTTATGAATGAATATTTTTCGTGGGTAATTATATTTTAAATATTACATACTTCATCTAAAAATCTTTTTACTTTTCGTATAGGTGTAAAAAACTTCTTCTATGAAAAGAAAATTTTCAATAGTAAATGCACTAGTACCTGACTTTTTGCTTACTATTTCTTGATTCGACATGAAGTAGTCCTCCCTCCGTATTAAAATAAGTGTCCCAATATTTTTTCACGTAGTTTAAAATAAGTTATAGGTATATTGTAGCAGATTGTAGCAGTGTTGTTTACTTTATTAAAGTGTACTGTAGCTGCTTTTGGGGTGGATTTATTTCCTAAAGTGGAAGGGAGCGACTTATTTTGTTTTGATAGGCTAGAAAAAGAAAGTGTAACACTTATTGTGATACGAAGAGAGTAACATAGTTACAGATTTAGAGGGTATAACTTTATTTGATATAATATGTGTACTTCAAATTAGAAATTTACTTCAACGATAAGAGGGAATATTAAATAAAATATTCAAGATGAAAAAACACTAATTTTAAAAAACAAACTTTTTACAGCCACTTGATATACTACATCCGTCTCTTTTTATTTAGTCATCTTTGAATTTTTCGGTCAAAGATAATAAATTATGATTCATTATTTTAACTAACATATTTGTGTGAAACTTAAAAATGTTACACTTCTATAATAGCTTTTTAACATAGATCATTTCATATAACAGCAAAACCCTAGAGAGCTCTTGCTTCTCTCTAAAATCTAGCGGCCGTATCCCCTCTTTATAGGGGTTGAGATTTTCCGCCGTCCCTATCAATATGGGGTTGGAGCGACAGATTATTCTGATTACAAGTTTTCTAATTGCTCGGGATTGCAACTACGTTGAAAGAGATAATGTTGGCGGATAAACGGATTGCGGCTGAGAGTTTGTATCAGTGCTAGATAGTGAAGCCTTGTTCGGCCGCTCTGGCGGTGGTGTAGTTGATATTCACCCATATTGCAAGAGCTCATCCTCCTCCGGAACCACCTCCATACCAGGAAGAGTTTTGTGGAAAGATTTTATTTCAACATTATTTTCTCTTTAGTAGTACTTTTTTTGTTTTAGTCCGAGTACATTTGGTTTGAATGTTTGAGTTTTTGGAGTTCTTTTGATATATAGGCAGGGTTTCAGATCCGTTCGTTTTAGGCTTAAATTTGCATGTTTCAGGTTTAACGAATCAGGTTGCTTTGTATGAGGTGGCTGATTCTATGTCTACTCCTAGAGTTCACGATTGGATCTTTAAAATCTGTCTGAATATTGTTTTGTATGTTTTCTCGATTTTAATATAAGGCCACTTGTTTTACGATTAAAAAAAACATAGATCATTTCATATTATTCTCATATTATCAATATTTCTATTATAAATATATAATCGGTTAAAGTTTAATATCTTTGATTTGAAAAGTCAAATTTGACTAAATAAAAAGGGACGAAGGGAATATTTGCTAAGAAAGTGAACAAATTTGTTAAGGCCAATGACACATAAATACAACTTCCTCCGTCCCGCTAAGATTGTCTCATTTTACATTTTTAGTCCGTCCCATTAAGATTTTCTCATACCAAATTTGGTAAAGTTTGTGTCGCTTTAAATCATTTTTATTTTATGGGAAAAGGGGCAAATAGGCCCACATACTAACCAAAAAGGTCAAATATGCCCTTATATAGGAGATTCTGTCCGGCCGTCGCCATTTGGGGTAGTTTCCCGGAGGAATTTTTTGATGAAAATTTTTGAGCATCTTATTCATTAAGTCTAGTTTATTCATACCAAATTTCAGCTAACAATTCAATCGGGAAGGCATTCAAATGCATTCTTGAAAATAACTGCGCAGTTATCTTTATGAATTCATTTGAATGCCTTCCCGATTGAAGTTTTAGATGAAATTTGGTATGAGTAAACTAGACCTAATGAATAAAGTGTTCAAAAAATTTCATCAAAATATTCCACCGGGAACCGCCCCAAATGACGACGGCCGGACAGAGTCTTCTATATAAGGGCTTATTTGACCTTTTTTTGTTAGTACGTTGGCTTATTTGCCCCTTTTCTCTCATTTTATTCTTACTTTGTCATTTCAATATCAACCAAACAAACCACTTTTTATTAGTTTGTGTGTCACTTCCTCTTGTCTCATTGTTAGTGAACAGAGGGAGTAACTTAATGATTAAATAGACAAGTGAACAAAAGTACTTGACTCAAAAATAAAATGATTGTTTAATAGTAACTATCCCATCACAATATATAGGGATCATGTCAACATACTCACTAACAAATTGTAATTCTCTAGTAACAAACTGTACAAATTCTCTCGCTTTTATGATGGAATAATTTTCATTTTTTCAGTGGAACATATTATCACGTAGGAGTGGGTTCGATTTTTTCGGTTCGGTTTTGACCTAAAACCAAATACGGAACCAAAATAAAAGTCTGGTTCGGTTTTACACTCCAAAACTTGGAACCACGGTTTGATTGGTTCGGTTTGTTTCGGTTCGGTTTCGGTTTTTTCGCTTTTTTACTAAAAAATTGTCATTTGATTTAAAAGTTGGTGGGATCAATCGTATTGCATAAAAATGTAAGCATACTTGAACAAATAAAGAAAATAATAATAAACAAATATGTCTTGAATTATATGAGTATGCGGGAGAGATAAAAGTGTGTATCTATTCTTAATTTACATTGTTTGTGACTGGTTTGAAAAAAGTTTATGCATACATACGTCTTATGTGATATAGCTGAGATAAATATTTACTTGTTTTATCAATTCAAAAAATTTAATTTACATAAAATAAAAGTTAATTACTACTAATAACCAGTAAAAACATATAATCATGCTACATACATACATACATACATAAAAAACATAATAGATCAATATAGCTACATTATGGGCAATGAACGTGTAAATGCATTCATAAACTAAACTAAAGTAAACATAGCACAAACATTATTTCTCTAGCACAAGAAATTCAAAGATTATTGATGATATTAAGATTAATGGTTACATTTAACAAATACAATTTCATATTTTATTTTTGTTCAGTTTGTTCGGTTTGGTTCGGTTTTGAAGGGAAAACCAAAACCGAACCAAACTACTACGGTTTGGTTCGGTTCGGTTTTTTACATTCAGTTTTGATTTTTAGCGGTTCGGTTTTATTTGGTCGCGGACTCACGGTTCGATTTAATTTGATTCGATTTTCGGTTTTTGTTTTTTTGGACCCAACCCTATTATCACGCTTAACAAATCTACTCAGCATTTCACTTATTGATGGCTATGTAGTGATTATGTCAACCCCACTATCATATATACCGACTTAGGTAGTACTCCGTATATAAGAAAAACTAACGAAAGAGACCAAGACATATACTCCCTCCGTCCCATTTATATTGTCCCGTTTTACCTTTTCGGGAAGTCCCACTTAAATTGTCTCATACCATATTTGGCAAAGTTTATGTGGCTCTAAATCATTGTTACTTTATGATTACTTTGTCAATTAATATCAACCACACAAACCCACTTTTCTTAATAACCATGCCACCATCTTCCGTCCCAATATAAATGGGACGGAGGTAGTAAGTTTTAAAATTAACCACATTCCAACCCAACTGATTGTGAGGTTATCGTGCCTAGTGGGAGGTCTCGAGTTCGAAACTCGCTAGGCCCCTCCCCCAGACCCCTGAGTAAAAAAAAAAAGACATAAGTGACCGTCTAATTGGTGTTGAAAACGACCCATGATGTGCAAATCAAGAAGTTTAGAACTCGAAGATTGACAAGTGCAAGGAGTATAGGAAAGGATGAAGTTATAGAAAAGTTTGAGAATAGGGTGATGACGCATTTGACATTTTCCTCTCATAAGTTGGCCGGGGAAAGAGGCAAAGTATTAGTAGTAGAAGAAGACGTGCAGGTCCCAATTGTTATTTTACATTCAAAGGGACATAGATAGGAACTACAAATTATTCCCTCATCCAGTTAAAATTATCTCAGTTCATATTCACTTGGTCAACACACATTACTCTTAATCTTTTTTCTTCTTTTTTTTTTCTTTTTTTTTGTTTTCTTTTTTTTTTATTCCAGGGGGGTCTGGGGGGAGGGGAGCTGGGGCCCTGGAGTTAACAGGTTTCAAACTCAAGACCTCCCACTAGGCACGATAACCTCACAATCAGCTGGGCTGGAATGCTTGGTTACATCACTCTTAATCTATTACTTTATATATTAAATTTTTATCAAATTTGATTCTGGTTTTTGAGACTTTGAAAAACTTTTAATGTAGTTTATGAATATATATGTAAGTTTGTTTTCTAAAAAAATTGAGTGCGAACAGGGATCTGTTTGATTTCCATTTCCTATGCAGATTCGTAATTAGCCTATTTAGAGAGGAATATAGGTCATCTAGGTAGGAATTTGTTTCCTTTCTATTTGCACTATTTCTAGTAGATCTACGTCCACCCAAAAATCGCACTCCTTGGCTAGGGTCTTTAATTTTTAGTCTAAGATTAGTACTCCCTCAATCCCAAATTGTATGATACATTTACTATTCACTTGGTAAACATAAATCAATCTTAATCTTTTATTTTATATATCAAAAGTTTATGAAATTTGAATTATTTTTTGCAGGTTTTGTAGCGGTTTTAATGTAGTTTATGAATATGTAAATTTTATTTTCTAGAACTAATTTAAGTGTTGACAGGGATCAATTTGCTTTATCGTCAGTCAAACATCGTAAACCGTAATGTATCTTACAAATTGGGACGGAGGGAGTAATTTTTAGTCTAAGATTAGTAATTGTTGAAATATTTGTATAAAGCTGTAATATACTATATCTAACTTCAGGTCTTAACATGGTACTAGTATTTACTAATATTAACAACTATAATTAAGGATAGGTCATTTATAAAGCAAATCCAAAGATGGTCATGTATTATTTGTCCATCTAATGTTCATTCAAACTAATGCATGCTCATTAGAATATAATTGATATCTTTATATAATGCTCATTTTTTTAATCAAATGAGTGTCCATTTGAACTACAGTGATGTACCATACACACGGTACATCAGCCTTCTAGTATAGGCTTATTGGAATTACTAACAAAATGTTTTATTGCATGCAGGGCCGGAGCCAGAAAAATGGTTCAGGGGGTTGAAACTCAACCTATATACAGAATGAAAATGTTAGATCGTTTTTAAACAATGTCTAATTTGAATATTTCATATGTAGTTTAGATAAATAGACACTCATAGCAAAAAGATAGATTGTCTTTGCTCTATTTCTGAGTCATTCATGCAAGTATTGACTGAATTATACCCTAATTTTAAAATTTGTAAAAATAATCTATAATATAATATGCATCAAATTTTGCTAATTTTACGTTTAAATAGTGTTGATTTTGCAGAAGTCATAACTTTTTACTCGTAATGAGTTATGGGAGCCATAATATATCAAATCGAAGATATTTCAGAGCTCTATACTCTCAAACTTTCAGCGGGGTCAGCTGACCACCTTGACCCCTGGCTCCGCCCCTGATTGCATGTACATCATTGATCTTTAATATAACACCCCTCACAAAAATATTGTCCACATTGCTGATAAGATGATTTGTGTTCTCAAAGACAAACTTGTGTGCGTGCAAACAAATTATTCCAACGACAAAATTGTTTTTATGAAATTTGAAGTAAAAAACATATGTGTGTATCAGTGGTCAGTGGAGTAGGCAAAATAAATACGGAGTAAAGCAATACTCTATCAATTTTTGGTAACAAATGCAAAAAATAGGCGGCTCATAACACAGTGCTCTCAATTACTGTAGCCGCCATGTGATGCAGTTTTTGTTAATTTCGAACGTAACCATTTAGCATCAACGTTAAAGTACCATTTTTTAAAACAAAACAATTATTATGAAGTGAAAGTATAATAATTTATTTAAACAAAAAGGGAATATGACAAGAACTTGCCACCCAAAATGATCGCCATGAAGTCAATTCGAGCAAATAAATGTTTACCAGGAGTCTAATTGGTGTTGAAAACGACCCATTTAACCATTTTATTATTATATACTCCGTATTTATTACAAGAAATAACTACTCCCTAAATTACAACAACTCAGTTTTACAAACCCTACGCCATAAAAACACTTCATGAAATTTGTAATGCCACGTCCTTAATTAAGAATTTAATTTGCATTAAGTTAAAATTCAAGAATCTCCTTTATTAAAGGACTTTATGGATTCTCTTAAAAAATGAGTATTAAGTTTAAAATAGATGAGTATTGATATTGAATTATAAAATTAGCACAACAAAATGATAATACAATGATATACTCCGTATAATTAAATGAATAAGTTGATTTGAAGAATATATATTAAATGTAGATCATGATATCAATACTTAATTGTGCTACTAATACAGTGAATTAATACCAATACTCATTTCTTTTAAATGTTACACTCATTGTTTAACATTAAGTACCCGGTTGTACGGTGAGCACCTACCGTACAACCGGCTGTACAATATAATGTACGCTCTCATCTCTAACGACTCTAAGGTAAAAGGAGCATTCCTGTTAAAATTCGATCACTTATCCTCATATAGTCATATTCAATAGAATTTATTGGAATAAATTATACTGTGTACTTCGTATGTCTATTCCTATTCACAAACTTTATAAATCTTCAAAAATCCTTATATTCTATATTGGGAACACCCATTTTGCGTTTTATAGTAATTCCCATATGATCTTATATACCTTTTTTACTACAACGTATTATTTTTAAAAATTTGTATTTACTTCTTTGTTATGCAAGTAACAATCATGTAAAATAAATAAACCACATGCACCGACAATCACCTAAACTCAAAGATCCACTAGCCTTTAGTTAATTACATCATCTCATTGATCACTTCTTCATGCACGTCTTCTTCTTCTACTACTACTTTGCCTCTTTCCCCGGCCAACTTATGAGAGGAAATTGTCAAATGCGTCATCACCCTATTCTCAAACTTTTCTATAACTTCATCCTTTCCTATACTCCTTGCACTTGTCAATCTTCAAGCTCTAAACTTCTTGATTTGCACATCATGAGAGAGGAGGGTTTAAATACACATTTGGTTCCTTCATGTGATAAAAGATCTCACCATTCTTCATCGGTATCAACGACTTGCAAGAGCGTCGGGTTTTTGGGTTGTGCTCGGTTGAGGCCTCCACCGCATTTACAATGAAGAGGGTGAAGTTCCCATTATCGTCAAGTGGAGTGCGGAATAATAGCAAGGTGACGGTGTATTGCAGTGTGAGGATGAAGATGTGGATTATGAGGGGTATCACTATATTGCTGTTGTGGACTTGCTTTGCTCAGTTGTCTGCCATTGGAGAAGTTTGGGGCTCTAAGCTCCTCCTCCTCAAGACTTGGCCTTCTCGGAACCATTTTCATTCCAAGAGTAATGATAATAATAATGTGTCTCATGATCATCTTCTCCAACCAATTCCAACCTCATTTCTTTCCTCAATGAGTGAGCGACTGTCTATTCTCTTGGATCTAGTTGCAGTCTTGGTCATTTTGATCAATTAAAACTTTACTTCTCGGCATAGGCATAAAAAGTTCTAGGGTGGGCTAGTAAAAAGATCTTCCAAATAATTTGTTCACATACATTTATACACAGTAAATGTTTTTACTAAATTTGGGGTGGGTTAGAGCCCAAGTCGGCCCCCTAGCTATATGCTAGGGAAAGCGCAAAAAACTTTTTTCTAGGAATAAATATAGTATTATGACGAACGAGAGTACGAGACCCTTTAGTATTAGCTCTTAAGTTCTTGTTTTCTTGTTATACCTGCAGGAGAAGTTCACAACAACAATGGCTACCTAGTAGTTTCTTGTAATGGTGGGCTTAATCAAATGCGAGCTGCAGTAGGTTCATCTCGATTATGTACATTATTGTTGTTATTGCTATCTCTATTTTAATTTAATACTACCTGGAATTGTCCAAGACTATTACAATGTGTTTGATTGAAAAAATTAATGTTTACCTTAATTTTAACACTTAAAATTTACACATTCAGCAAACTGGATTTGGAAATGAAAAAACAGTAGTGTCTCCTTAAGAATTCAAAAGAGAATTTGATTAATTAACTCAGGAATATAAACTGGGTCAAGTAATATGGAACTGATAAAAGCATTAATTAATTTATATATTTGAAATGTTGACATGTTGATGGACCTGAATTTGCAATAATTCTCAACAACTATGCAGATATGCGACATGGTTGCCATTGCACAATACTTAAATGTCACTCTTATTGTGCCAGAGCTCGACAAAACTTCCTTCTGGTCTGATCCAAGGTGCATCTATAATACTTCCTAGCTAGTATCATCACTAATTTGTGACTTTAGTGTTGAGTAGCCCAATGTTTTATATGAAAAGTTCATGCAATATTTATATTTGAATTGTGGGTTTGTGGCCAAATTTAGAATCACCTTTTCAGAGTTTATATATATAGTGAGAGAGCATAGCTGTTTGTGTTTGGCATGCAGTGATTTTGAGGACATATTTGATGTTCATCATTTCATTGAATCGTTGAAGGATGAAGTTCATATCCTCAGAGAGCTACCTCCTAGACTTAAGCGGGGGGTACAACTTGGAATGTTTTACGAGTTGTCACCTGTGAGCTGGTCAAACCTTTCATACTACCATGATCAAGTACGTACGGTACCTCCTGGTAAACTATCAATCTTTACTTGTAATTTCAAAGCTATTTGTATGTTGAACGAACAAATGTTTTCACTTGGACCGTTTCGATCAATCGTGTACCAGATTAGACCAAACTTGATTGGTCTTAATTAATTCACACTAGACGATATTTAAACGAGCTGAATTTGAATAGACTGGAATAATAGTAATACTCACGTAATGATAGACTAGATCAAGCCACACCTGAGTTAGACATACCTGGCCAAACCAGACAATTTTATGTCCAAGTGAAAATATCCTAAAGTTAACATTGTTGATTGCTTTTGGTTCAAATAGGACGTATTTCTATACAACATTCAAGCCTTATTTCCAAAAGATTTTGGTGTACGACTTGTTTCTATAAATAAATAAAAAGTTAACTCTGGGGAAAAGTATTTAACTGATGTACTTAACAGCTAATGTATGAAATGTGGAGCAGATTCTTCCGCAGATAAAAAAGTATGAAGTTGTACGGTTCAATAGAACTGATTCAAGGTTGGCCAACAATGGATTACCTCTGGGGATTCAGAAGTTGCGATGCAAAGTGAACTTCAGTGCTTTGAGGTTCTCTTCTCACATAGAAGAATCTGCTCAGAAAGTTATCAAGATTTTGAGGCAAAATGGCCCTTATATGGCACTCCATCTTAGGTATGAAATGGATATGTTAGCCTTCTCTGGGTGCACCCATGGTTGCAGCGATGAAGAGGCAGATGAGCTTACTAGAATGAGGTAAGTTGGCCAGTTGGGTACCCATTACATTTTGGTGTAGGGTTTTAGGGAAGAGGGCTAACTGGCTAAGTGTATATCTGTGTATATATTTGAAAGTCGTCATCATCATCATTACCCGTGTGCTTCATAAGATAGAAGCGCACACAGTTTAGTGAGCCAAAAAATTAAGACATCACAACAAAATCTAATTACCCTTTAATTATTTGAAACATGTTGTTTGTGAAGACATAAACTAAGACATCACAAAAAATCCCCTAATAAAACCTCCACATCCAAACCGGCAATAAGGACTTGTTCATTTGGATGGAGGACCTGCTTATTTTGGTTCTTTAAATCACAAATCAAACTTAAAATGGACATAACGGGACATACAAACTAGTTACATACATCAAACGAATCATACCAGATTTAAACAAATCAAACTTGATCAAACTAGTAACTTTCAATCCAAATGAACAGCTGTGAGACTTAATGATCTGGTACGGTCTTGTTAGAATTGGTCTGGACTGTTTATGTTTTATTTGGTCTGGACTTATTCGCTTAAGTCTATTCTGGTCTAAACTAGTATTATATTACTCTTCAAGTCCAATCTAAACACATCTGCTCTAATTTATTCATGTGCAGTATGAATTTGTATAACCCAGTCTAGTATGATCTGATCTGGATTGTTACTAAAATATGTCCAAGTGAATAAGTCCTAAAGAGTAACTTTTTATGCTGGGTCTAACACTCTAACCTAGTGAAACCCAACACCAACCATGTCCCATGTTTAGGTATTCTACTAAACGATGGAAGGAGAAAATCATAAATTCTGAATTAAAGAGGAGAAAAGGGCTCTGCCCATTGACACCTGAAGAAACTGCTCTGACTCTTCAAGCCTTGGGAATCAATCCCAGTTTTCAAATATACCTAGCATCTGGAGAAATATATGGTGGACCAAGAAGACTGCAAAATTTGTTTGCAGCATTTCCAAATATGGTAAGTAATACTCTATATATGTCCTAAAAAGAATTACGTTCGAAATAGTCTTGAGTATGTTTTACATTTATGCAAATAAAACATTTTTTGTTTTGAGCAATAGTGATTTCTCTTTAGAAAAAAAAAATTGTTTAGAAAATTCTTCCACGTCAACTTATGTTTAGAAAAACTTATGCTACTTCCACTTCAGTCTAACTCTTCCGCATCATTTTTTATGAAATGAAGGAACTAAAAAAGGAAACAGCAAAATTTCAAGCATGAATAACCAAAAAATAAGTGAAGTCAGCTAAAAGAAAAGTGTTATAAACTTATACTTGCAAGAACGGAAACATAGACATATTTAAGCCTTTGAATTTTTGAAATAATGTTGTTTTTAGTATTAACTAAGAATACAGGTCAGGAAGGAGACCCTGCTTGAACCTTTAGGACTGAGGCTATTCAAAGGACATCAATCACAGATGGCAGCATTAGATTACCTTGTCTCACTAGAGAGTGATATCTTTGTTCCAACCTATGCTGGAAACATGGCCAGAGTTGTTGAAGGCCACCGCAGGTAACCACTTTTTTCTTTGTTTAACAATTGTATGCTACTCAAGTGGTTACATGGCGTGTTTGGTAAAGGATGATGATGATGTGTTGAATTTTCTATAAATAAAAACATTTGGAAAAATCTATTCCAGCCAATTCAAACGCTTGTTTTATACCCCCTCCGTATGAAAATAACTATCACATTTGATTTTTCACGTAGTTTAAAATAATGTTATAAGATAATTATTGTATGATTTGCAAAAAGTAAAAGGTTTTTGGTACTATAGCAGTACTGTATACTTTATTAAAGTATATTGTAGCTGCTTTTAGGATATATTTCTTTCAAAAAAAGAAATGAGACAATTAATTTGATACAACCCGAAAAGGAAACTGGGACAGTTATTTTGATATGGAGGGAGTACGAAGTATTGTTTATTATTCTAATAAACAGAACAATATAATTTATGCTATCAAAAAAGGTCAAAGTCAGAGAGGTCAGAGGTGTTCTTTTTTCCTTGCCTGTTCAAACCTTAATTCACCCTGCAGGTACTTAGGTTTCAGGAAGACTATTCTACTAGACAGGAAAGTTATAGTTCGCTTAACAGACCAATACAAGGCTGGTAATATAACATGGGGTCAATACTCATTGGTCATGAAGAAAACTCACATAAACAGAACAGGGAAACCCAAAGCACGGTCTATGATTCCGGGGAAACCAAAGAAAGAGGACAACTTTTATGCCAATCCACAAGAGTGCTTGAAGAATCAAGGAGGTGCTTCATGATTCATATAATTTTTCTAATAGATAAGGTCCTCATTGTCCAAATCTTGTGTGTGTATAGGCAATCTATTGCATTATACAAATACATAGTAGCTTATAGCGGCAACTGCTGATCGATTGATCGTTCACACAATTGAATACATTAATTGTTTTTTTGCTTATAAAGAAGGCTTAAATAAGTTTTTTGGTCAGGCTATATTTTGCCTTTTTTGTTTATGACCTTGTAATTTTTGTTTTGTATTCTCATCTCTGCAATGTATGCATTTATTGCTTTTTTAGTATCTAACTTCATATCTGTCATACTCCGCCCACAAAAACTAAGGTGGATCATAAAACACAAGTCTAGCTTTTCTACATCATTTATAAAGGAAAAATTCACAGGAAGAATAATCCCAACTGTGGACAGTCCCAGAATTCTCAAATATGTCTATTTTCAATACGCGGAGTATAAAGCATCTTCTAAAAACGTACGGGTGACCTGAATAAATCACTTCAACAGGTCACTTGATCACATGGCTTGTTTGATTGGTCCTACCATCCTGCTATTATTTCCTTTATCTTTTCTTTTCTCCTCCCTATCGCGTCTGTGCTGCACAGGTGCATCTTCTTTCTTCTTCTTTTGTCTTCCCGATAGCGTCTATCTTTTCCTCCCATTGCTGCTGCGACAAATTCCAGGTAATTGACGAGGTGCTCCATTAGTGAAATCCCAATAATTAGTAAAGTTGGACACTCTCAATCTGGAGAGATTCTTCATTTGCAGAAACATGAAGTAAGACGGGTCAAGAAGACCCAATTGGGAAGAAAGGAGAATGAAGAAGAATGGCCAGCAAAGCAACTCCATTCAATTCATCACCGCCAAAAAAATCATCATCATTACCCCCATTACAAAACAAATCAAGGATGCTTTTAATCGGACTAAAATTATCTGGTCTGGTCTGATGATCTGGTTTGTTTGTTTAAGTTTAGTCTTGTAGATGTTTGTTCTATGTGTATTTTACAACTGTTGCAGTCCAGTCTGTTGATATGGGACTGAAAGTATGCAACATGTCCAATTAAAATCATCTTGAGTCTCCTCTGATCCATCTTATTCTTCCTCTTTCTTCTTTCGAGTTTCATCGGGCTTCTCACCCTCGAATTTGAAAGGGAAACTGTGGCTCATTCTTCACACTTTTCCCTGTCTTCTTCTTTCGGAATAACAAATCCAAGCCATGGTTTGGGCATAGCACAGAGTGATACAGAGGGAGGTCTTTCAGGGATACGGAAAAAATGTTAGGGTTTAGTGGTCAAACAAGTTCCAGGTCACCTGAGGCCATTTTGAGAAGAACAATCTTTAAATTTGGATTATTTTGGAATTATAAATATATGAGATTAATGTGGGAAGGACGTTAGAGCGCTAATAGCTGGGTTTATTGGGGTGAATTTTCCCTTTAAAAAAGAAAAGTTGATAACCAGTGGTTTATTTAAAAAAAAGCCAGAAGACACGTTCATAGAAAGTTGAATGGTGAGTTTTTGTACCCAAACTCCCCTTATAGTAGCTGATGAGTTATGAAAGTTGACTTGAAAATCATAGAGGAGTTTTGAAACAATCTAATTTTTAAAGAAGAACCATCATATTACACATCTAAATGAAAAATGTTACGTTAGCAGGGATGATAAACATATTTAAGCCTATAAGAACAATCAATTCTCCAAAATTATAAGACGGGTGAGTAAACAGCCTACAAAAAGTGAAACACAGCTTCTCGTGTTTAGATAGAAATCAATTCTTTGTACATACAATATTTATAAAAGAAGTATATCATCCTATTTTTAGAAAGACTTGCAAGCCCCGGCATAAGGAAGGGAAATAGAATGTACATAACACACACGCAAACTACCTCAATTGTCTGCCTGGGAAAATTGTGAGATGCAGGAGACTAAGGTGCGCCTTTTCAATGGTAAGACCAGAACTCCTAATTAACTGCTATCTTCTGAGCTTTTTATGAGCATGGTCATAATTCTCGCAACCATTAAATGCAGAAACGGCAGTTCTGCTGCTTGTATAATTACCAACATCAAGTTCAACTGAAATATTTGCCTGTGACATATCAACTCCCATAGATGCCAGTGTCTGGTTTAGGGTATTCAACAACCTGTTCAAATAAAAAAAGTTATGTGAAACAGTTGAAAACTACTAACTAAGAGCCCCTTTGGTGGACTTCATTTTCAGCTTATCAAGCAATTTTACACCAAAAACCAACTTATACTTATTTCCCTGTGCTGGCTTAATCATCTTATAATGAGAAAAAACTACAGGGATTATTTTTTCCTAAAATGGATGAAGTTGATACTTCTATTTTTTAAAAAAAAATTGCTTCATTTAAACATATATTTTTAAATATTTTTTAGATGATTATGACAATTTAGTCAATTCAGTCATTTTGCCTAAAACTTCAATAACTTAACTGAATCAGCCACTTCAACCAATTTAAACAGTAACAAACCGGCTCTTAAACTAGAAGTCTAAAATACGTAGTACATTACAGAAACGAAGTCACTGTGGGCAACTGGGATAGTAATTGTCGGTCAGTGCCATGCTAATTACCAACAGCAAAGCAATAAAACATATTCCTCACCTCTGAGAGTAGTCATTTGGAGAACTGTCATCCCTGCATTTGTTTTTCAGCTCATCCCTGTCATTCTGATCAAAGATTAGGTCTTCAGATTGTATCTTATGCGGTTTATCAGACCATTCAAACAGTTGTGCCTCAGAAGCCAACTGATCAGTGTAGGTAGAAGATCCGTGAGAGGGTTGGATCGATATACCATCGAATAAACTTGGCTGTACAGGCATGTTGTAAGGGATAACTTCATTTATTACTTCACGGTGGTGTTCATCCATTATTTTATAGCCAGCTTCCCCATTCATGCCAGATTCTACAGAGTCACGTGTGTTATTAGGAAGTAATATAGAGTCCACAACAATATTGTCTTCATGAGCAGAGCCACTCCTGATCAGATGGGACTGTTCTGTGAAGATTTGGGGAGGGCCAGAAGAGCTTCTTCTCTGTTTGCAAAAAGAAGAGATGTTGATGTCATCATTGCTTGAAAAAACTTCAACCACCACAGAGGGTGCTTAATCAAACTAGCTTCTAACTAAGGATGTTTTAATTGGACTGAAATTTTCTGGTATGGTCTGATCTGGTCTATTTAAGTGTGTGTTCTGGTCTGGTCTGAGACTGAAACCAGTCCAATTTAAAACATTCTAAGGCTCAACTCGACTTTCCCTTCAAATTGAAAGTGCAGTTTAGGAGGAAGGCCTCAAACCAGCAGACCCTAACAAAGACCCAGCATTCATAGTTTTTTCAAAGGCAAACGCTGATTGTTTTGTCTACTCACTCAAATTTCAAAATTGTATCAAGAAACATACTTATAGGTTCTGCTTAAACAGCGCAGTTCACCCGACAATACAATTTTCAGAATAGATAAGCATATATGTAATGAAAGAAAGTTAAAAGTGATAAATAAAAGTAAGTGCTGTTTGGTAGGAGCAAAATATTTGGGCTTATCCGCTAGATTTTTTTTTCAAATGCTAACTTATTTGATTGTATTGGATGATAATAAAAATAGCTTTACAACAGTTGCTTCTTTGTCCCAATCTTATTTTAGATATTGTTCCCTTTAATTTATAGAAAATACTCTTTTAAATACATTTTATATAATTCAACGTAGTCAGCCATTTCAGGCGCGCATTACGTCTTTAATGACAAAGAGCATTGATGGATGCATTTGCCATTAACCAATTTCATGAAAACAATCATATGTACACTGCTTCCATGTCGAACATCGACTCAACACATAACTATCTACGGAGCCCAGTATACTGTCTATTCAGCTATCATGAACTCTTACATAGAAACTTACATTCAGCTACCACGAGTAAGAGCATTCAAAATCAACTGAGTATGATATGTAGCAGATTTTACCCATGGCATCAACTTTGAGGGCTCTGGACTCCAATCTTGGCTTGCTCCTTCATACATCTGTATTTTCTCTTTTAAAAACTGAATATACTGAATAACCTGCAAGTAACGCCAAATCTAGAGAATAAGTCTGTTTCCTGGCATTCTCAAATAGATAAGATACAACGAGCAGAGAGTATAACAATGCACCTCCAGCAAGAACGAAGCTTTGTCTCTCTTCTGATCATTCTCAGGTATGAGATCCCTCAATGTTTGGAATCTGATAAGTATATTATAAGTGAGCTATAATCCTACATAACTTTGTACATGCCAAATCAAGTGGAAATACAAGGATTATTCACAACCCCACATTCAAAATAAGGGTGCAAAATGACAATTGACAAAGAGTTCAATCCACGTCACAATTTAATCTTGCATGTGTGGACCCCTTTTCAGTCACTTTTCGAACCCCTTATTGAAATTCTAGCTTGATTATAGAACGAAAAGGTCAGTGGAATGAAATCAAGTCCTTAACTATTGAAAACTTTGAAGTACTTAGCAACTATGATTCTAACAGTTTTATGGTTGCAGCATTTTAAAAAAAGGTTGTTCCAATGAGTAGAAAAGATCATTTGACATGTAAAAGTTCATAGTAATACAGCTCTTATTTATTTTTCAAGGAAAAAAATAGTTTACTTCAAGTCAATCTTATATGTTCAATTAAATTTTTACTCTTGTGGTGATGCAATCATTAATACTCCGTAACTTGAAAGTGAATGGGAAATTAGCAATATGTCATGGACAACAGTCAATCTACTTTCGACATGCATGTTAAAAATTGAGCAGATTATGCAACAACTTCCTCAAACTGAAATGAAACAAATGGTCAGACCATGCAGCCAAGACCAAAATGATCCTATCTAGCCCCTTTCAAAGAGAAGAAACCTGAATTATAGGCCTGCTCATTCCCCTCATTGAAATTCAAAACCAAACAATTTCCAGATAATATATTTCTAAAAAAACATGATCTTGCCTCTCGTTGATTTTGCTCCTCCTTCGCTGCTCTGTCTCAGAGTGCTTGGACCGAAGTGTATTCGTCTTCTGATCACTGCTCCTCCCATCCATTGTAACTGCAAACATTAGCAGTGTAAAAACACAAATAGGAAAAGGCTCGTAATGCTGTTTACATGCACGATACAAGCTAGGAGACGCACCCTTCTCGGAGGAATCATCAAGAGCTCTGGAAGAAAAATCCAAGTCGTCATCTTCATCCCCTTCGTGATGACTCTTCACAGTTCTCACCATTTTTCTAGTCCATCATAATTCCGGGAACCGAAACTACTAGATTTCAGCATCATAAACGATTTAAGATTTGAAAGCAATAACGGGTGAGGAGATGATTCATAGAAAAACCTGAGTTGGGCCAAAATGGCGACCGGTAGGAGCTAGCGGCGGGAATATATATAAAAGTCCGGAGCGCAATTGATTCTATGAAGTGTACTTGGTGCAAACCCACACCTAACGCTGGGTCTGTACGTATATGTGCAAAGAAGATAAGTAGTTGGAGCTGGGGATGGCAATGGGCGGATTTGGGGCGGTATCACTCCCCCATCCAGCCTCATCCCCTTTTTTCCCAGACCCGCCCAGCCCAGTTGTTCCCCACAGGTGCCCGCGACTGCCCCATATAAATTATAATTAACTTAATTGCATATTTTTTAAATCCATTTTTATAGATATATAATTCTTCAATTTGAACAAGTTCTTTGAAAATTATAAAACTTAAAATATAAGTAAACATATCATCATCATGTATGTCGTTCCAAATTTCTTACTCCCTCCGTCCCATTTTGGTTGTCCTACTTTCCTTTTTGGGTTGTCCCAAAATGAATGTCTTGTTTCCTTTTTTTGCATGAAATATATGGTTCTTATCAATTTACTTTATTCTACTCAAATCTCAAACACAACTTTTACTTTTCAACCACTTTATTAATAATCGTGTCAAATCGAAAGTGGACAACCATTATGGGACGGAGGTAGTATCAATTATAATATACTACATCCGTTCCATAATGGTTGTCCACTTTCAATTTGACACGATTATTAATAAAGTGGTTGAAAAGTAAAAGTTGTGTTTGAGATTTGAGCAGAATAAAGTCAATTGATAAGAACCACATATTCCATACCAAAAAGGGAAACAAGACATTCATTTTGGGACAACCCAAAAAGGAAAGTAGGACAACCAAAATGGGACGGAGGGTGTACTACGTAATTAATTATATATTATACACACACGCGTGTGTGTTCTATTTACTCAGTTTCTCACTTTTAAAACTCATATATCATTTATGATACATATTGTTAGTAATCACTTATTATTATTTACGTAGTATTAATTCATTAATCCTGACTAATACACATACATGTATGTATGTCTATATGTATATGTATGTGTTTGTTATATACTACATATAATTTAGGGAAAATGGAAATTAATAATTCAACCTTTTAGCGGTCTTCTTTTAATAGTCCGACCTTTTCGTTATTCACGAATAATCCAACCTTTGCACCTCATCTTCATTCATTGGTTCCCGACCGGTTGATGGTCTGCTATTCCGAGTTATTTTCTTATCTCTGCAAACTATTATACCATAAATTCCACCTTTCACAAAGATAAGAAAATAACTTGGAATAGCAGGTCATCAATCAGTCAGGGACCAGTGAATGAAGATGAGGTGCAAAGGTTGGATTATTCATGAATAACGAAAAGGCGGGACTATTAAAAGAAGACCGCTAAAAGGTTGGATTATTAGTTTCCATTTATTTATGTATAAATAAAAACTAATTTATATATGTATGTATGTGTATATATATACTAGCCGGGCGGCGCGCGTTGCGCGTGAATCGTGCCCAACGATGGAATTAAAGACAAAAAGCTATGGGGAATAGCAGTTTAAAACATAAAGAGGAAGTAATAAGTTAATCACTTAGGTTATTAACTATGAGAAACTAATTATAAGAAAGGCAGAACGGAAGATGCATAAGCTTGAAGTCAAACAGATAAACATACCTCTACATAAGCTTGAAGTCAATCCAGCCCTGTTGAAGCTCTATGCAATAACTCAGTGCTTAGCTTCAAAACTAACCTTCATAGTTTGTGCATAACTCGTTCTGCAATATCTTGATGCACACTTCTCAAGCTCAATGGTGTTTAACGGATGCGGAGGATATTTCAGCTTCTCCTGCCGCCTAACTTTAGTAACCTGTCCAAAACATAATGCCTGCAATTAGTTTATTGACTCGTTGTGTCTCTTAAATTAGAGTGAAAGAGCATGAACTAAAATAAAGACTTCATTAGACTCACGGTTGCAGTGGGTTCTTGGACACACATTTCATAAATAATTACTCCACATGTATAATAATAAAAAAAAAGATGCATACATATTAAGAATAGATTTGTCACAATCAATAGAAAGAAAAGAAATAAATATGACAGAGTCCAATGATGTGGGTTTTAAGAGAACTCAAGATCAGGTTCAGTGTGTGGTTTCGTAGAAAGATTCATCGATATGAAGCGAAGACGGGGTAACGAAGCAACAACAAAAAATAATTCAATACCCTTAAATCAATACGAAGACCACATTTTAACAAATGACACAACAACGTAAATTTCACCTAAGGTATTAATCGCAATGTTACGAATACACGAAGTCAAATTATGTGGATGCAATTCACGGTATCGAAGCGTACGCCCAAAAGATTTGGAAGATGATTCTCCAAGTTCCATTTGGGAGAGCCTTAACTATGTAACATATTTAAATATACTCAACAATCATAATAAGACAAAAAAAAAACTCACATTGACACATGATCACACACAGGAAACAAAACGTATACAGCACTTACCCCAAGCTACCTCTGAAACTGCTTGTTTCGTAAAGATTCTCCTGTAATAATCAATAAAAATTTAATACTTCTAACCAAAGCACACTAAAAAATGTGTCACAATGCATATGTTTGACTATATTTTATCTATGAGTGTCTTAAAAAAATTCAAAAACCATAATTATATTCTTCTTAGTTTAAATTTAGAGAATAAAATTTTTACTTTAAAACTGATCTGCTTAAGTCTAGTTTGGGTTGGAATTGGAAACAAAAAAAATCTTAATTTTTTGAAATTAGTTAATGACAACACTTTATATGCTTGTATTGTGGTTATATATTTTTATCTTTTCAACTAAACATCATTGTTTAACTTAAGGAAATGTGATTATGTATTAATCTTGTATAATTGGAAATATGTTTGCTTTATGTGCATAAAATGAACTAAATTCAAGGACTACCAAACTATACAATACTTAAATGCATTGACATTAAACCCACATGTTTAGTGAGAAAAACATGTAACTTAAAGGCCTAAGAGTTATTTAGGTTAGAAGCTTCAAGAGAAACGATCCCTAATAAATATTTAGTTATTGATGTATTTGAACTTTAAAAACGTAGAAGACAATATGTTTATTGTGGACAAAGAGAATTAACTTTACAAAAGTAATTGGTTGTTTTCTTTCTCATAGTAGTGGATTTGCTAGATTAAATGCATTCAAGTTTCTAGAATTTGTAAGAGTACTATAAATAGATGGACTTTTAAATCCATATGAGGGGTAACAATTGAAGTTTATCACGTTTATTTCTCCCTTATAGTTTATTTGGAAACATATTTTGATTCTTAAAGAATGTTTTTTTCCATCTTTTTATGTTTCAGTAAGAAGGTTGCTTCAGCAAATTTCTTTGCATGTACCTGTGATATGATAGTTTTCCTTGCTATTACTCAGTTTATTCATAAATAGGTCACACTATTTGTTATATTAACAGAAGTTAGGGTTGCAAGGCAATGAGGTGGTTCCCTCATGTTTTCCAATTCTAGAGAATACCTGAAAAGGATAGAGGAGGGACCTTTCCTACCTCAAATTCTGTTTAACAAACACCCTACCCCAGCAGCAGCCACTTCTGTCATCAAAAAATGGAGTGTAACATCTCTAATTGCATATTATTAATCAGCACATGCATGTTTTTTGGCCGAAACGCTATTTTACTACCTCTATTTCTTTCCTGTGATATGCTTCTTACTTTAAATTTAAAGAATAAAATTTTTACTTTAAATTTGGTCTGCTTAAATCTGGTATGGATTGGAATTGGAAATGATCCATGTAAGAACATCCTTAATTGCATGTTATTAATCATCACATACAAAGATTATTTCATATCAATGATTTCTCCTTTGAGACAATTCGACAAACACTTTGAAGACCTAATAAAGAGGAATACAATCTCCATCTACTATTTTTTGGCTGAGACTATTTGACAAACACCTTACGGACAACTAAATTGGAGACAACTAATAAAGAAGAATACAATAATACTGCATAGACATAGCACTCAGTCAACTACTCAATATTCATACTCTTAAAACTCACTGTATAGAAATTTATCACAACAATTTGATTTGAAAATCCATGGAAATCGAAAACCGAACAAGGTATATACCGTCAAAGCAACTCCACAAATCAGGAATACACGAACACGAAGCACACTGCAAACCGGAAACATAAAGCTACAACCGATTCGTGGTAGTTGGGGTTTTGGGGCATTCCGGCCCTGGGGGTTTGGCCGGGCACTCAGCGGCTCTTTGGACGGAAGATTTCTGCAGATGGACATAGAGAGCGGCTCCTTCAATGGAAGATTTCTACAGATCAAGGATGGGCTGTGCGAAATGAGGAGAGGAGATAGGTAGATTATACTGGGGAGAAATAATGTGAGGAGAGCAGCACACCAGGCTATCAGACGGAGACAACAACGGAGAGGTCAAGAAGTGTGGTAAAAAAAAAGGAGGTCAAAAAGTGTATAAGAAACCAGACACCACAAGGCTTTGCAATATGCTCACCAAGTTCTAAGAAACAACTACCCAACCATGTTCACTCCAACATAACAATCAAGGAAAAGAAAACCCAAAGAAGTAAGCATAATCTTTCTTTCATAGGAAAGAGCATAAACACACAGAGTTAGGGCAACAGGTCCACAAATCCAACGTAACACAGCATACAGCAATCAAACACAACAAACATAACAGTGGGAAAACCCGGAACTCTGTAAGGGGGTAAAAACAGGACACTTACACGCTAAATTTATTTGAAAGAATTAATTTGGATGTTGGACAGCTCACCGTAGGAAAATTCCAGCTGTTTGACAAGCCCTCTCCTCCAACCGAACTGGAAAGTGAAGTAATGAAGCCGGAAGAGCAGTGAATGGCAGTTCCGTATGAGCGATGAGCGACAACGGTTCCGTATGAGCGGTGGCGTTTCCCAGTGAACAGCGTCCGGCGTCGATTACGGGTATGCGGCAACCGGCGGAGTCCGTCTGAAAGTAGCAAGGGACGATCCGGTGGAACTGAGGTTGCGATAGGGCGGGGAGCTCCCATCCAGATCGGGTGGGGTGGAGGAGGTAGTAACCAACTAAGCCTGGAAATGGAGAGATTAAGCTTTGAGAACCCTAAAATCTGAGCTTTGGGGCAAAATGAGAAGAGAAGCACGAGATGTTGAGATGTCGAGTGAGGGAG